AGTGAACAAATCAGGATGCATGAGGGAATCCACGTGGTCGCCAATCTGTAACTGATCAGAGCAGCTACACTGAAGCAAAACCCCCAGCTCCTACCGCCAAATATATTGCAATGGAGAAACCGTCCACAATGGGGTGTCTAATATCCTTAGCAGAGTCCTGGGGCTGCCGTTTAAGAGACTCTCCCGCTACTCCCACCCTTTTTGCACCCAGTAAACCAGGCGATGTAACAACGGAATCTGGTTCTGTGTGTGCCCTGTGAGTGTGCGCTTTGCAAACCATCTGGGCTCCATCCTGCGCGGTTGGAACGACGATCGATCCCGGACGAGTTGGGGGAGTTGGAGCTTGCCCGTGTCTCCTCCCTTTCTCTGCTCCCCTCTAGCCCCCACCCGGTCGTTCGCTCAGCACTAACGTTTCGCCGGCGGAGGGACGTAGGTTTTCAGCACCAGGAGGCCGTGGACCTTCTCTGGAGGCGTGCAGTGCACCCTCCAGAGGGCCAGAGCTGATTGCAACCTGCTCACCACGACCCTCCCCCTCCTTCCCAAATTCGCCGCCCCAGGCTGTAATATTACAAGCAGTGTGCGCTGTACCCGTGCGGGAGTCCAGGAAGGCTGCGTGACCTTCCAGCGAACTCCACCTCGGCTGGGGGGATGGAGGCTACCCCGGGGCCTGCAGGCTGTGTGTATCGATCCCCCAGCCTCGGCCAACACAAGTTCTCCCGGCACAAACCCCTCCCTCCCCTCTCCGCTTTCCCAGCCTTGGAGGCTTCTAACGCCCAGCTTGAGGCGCCCTCCCCTCTTTCCCGCAATAAAGTAAACCGGGTGGATATTCATCCCCCGCCCTCGCCCTCCTTCCTTCCCCCTCCCCCCTCAGCCTACTAACCCCGCGCAATGAGCTCGCCGCCGGCGGGCCCCTTCCACCCAGTGTATCATAATGCCCAACGCTCTTCTCCTCCCCCTCCCTTAATCAGAAACGTGCTCGCGAGCCCCCCTCCCTCTGCATGCATACATTAGGGTCTGCTTTGCATGCAGCGGCAGGCAGAGAACTGAGGAAGAAGGGGCGGGGGCGCTTTTGCCCGCCTCTTCCCTCCAGGCCCCGTTAGCCATCCAGCTTCAGCTTCGTTGTAACACCGCCTCGTTAGCGGAGCACGCCGTGGCCCCAATGCCCGGGCTGGAGAAACACGACCCAACTCTCTGCAGAAGGGCACGAGAGACAGAGGTTCCAAAGCCCCGAGTGCGAGGAGGTGGCGGGAGACCTGCCCCTTGATGTGTGCATTTTGGAGAGAGCTCCAGCATGAAAATGGGAGGGGCCCTCTCTCTCTTTTTTTTTTTTTTTTTTTTAATTTTTAAAGCGCGTTCATTGAGGGCCTTTCTATTCTGCATATAGTAAACTGGGCAACGCTTCCGTTTTGCATATGGTACAATAAGGGCTCTTTTATTCTAGAAGCGTTAAATGAGGGCTAACCCATCTTGTCTCCGTGCCTCGAGGCAGAGAAGGAGGCTCACTCGTCCCCGACCCGGCAGCCGCGCTATACTGGAAGCTGCTCTCCCGGGCGGTTCGATTCCCAGCGCATCCCGGGAACGTGTGTAAGCGGCCTCTCGGCTCTCGAGGCTGCAGGCGGCCGGGCTCCCTCCGCCTCCATCCTCCCTGTAGTCCTCGCCCCCTCCCCCTCTCCCCGGAACCCGCGCTCCGCGTCGGGCTCCTGGGCTTCCTTCCCCCCTCCTTTTCCCCAGCAATGCCGCTCCCGGAGGGCGGGGCATGCACTTATCCAGGTTGCGGGGCGGACGGGCGGGCGGGCGGCGGCGGCCCGGGCCTCGGCCTGGCGTAGCCGCGGCCCGGCGTCTGGAGCGTAGGCCCGAGCCCGCTATACAGATTGCCGGGCGGGCGGGCGCGGCCCGGCGCTCTGCATAGCGGCCGGCTGGGTGTAGGCCGCCGGGCGGCGCCGAGCGGCTCAGGCAGGTTCCGGGGCCCTCGGCCCCCCCCTCCGCCTCCCCGCCCCCCTGTGTTGTCGCCTCTCCCTCTCGCTGCTTCACTTCACGGGGCGAACATGGCGCACAGCTGTCGGTGGCGCTTCCCCGCCCGACCCGGGACCACCGGGGGCGGCGGCGGCGGGGGGCGCCGGGGCCTGGGGGG